GAATTGTTTGATGGACAGTGAAGTGTTCCAGAGATGCCTCCTGGTGCAACTCTCAGGCTGGGAATATATTTCTCCCATTGCTATTCTTGTAGTTGACTCCAAGTGAAGGGCTTGTCTGGCAGTTGTTGGCATTGAGGCTGTCTGGACATGCAAGCAAGAGAAGGCATCCACAATGGATGCGTAATCTATGATGTTGTGCTTTTGCTGACTCCCCATCTATGCCTTCAACTGCCTATTGTTAAAGTGGCTATTGTTAAAATGCCTTGCTGTGCAGGTCTTCCACCCAACATCGATCTTGAAGGCGATGTGTGCCTAAATATCTTGTGAGTGAGAAGACTGGAAGCCCTGCTCAGTGTGTCCACCATCGTTATTGGTGTCAGTTCCTCCTCGTGGTGGGTTGTGGGCACCTGGAGATTGGTGTGAACTCACTTCAATATCTCTCCATCCAACACATCACTACTTGAACAGTGTGGGTGATGCCCTATCTTCATTTATTAGCAGTGCCAACAAACCTGGCATCCTGGACCTGATTTGCAAGAGCTCGCAGGAGCAATACCGCATGAGTTGAGATTGTCTTGTGCTCAGCGGATATCTGTACTATCAGGTACTTCTCATAATGCAGTTGTTCAAGAGTTAGAGCTTAGAGAAGATGCATAGCATCAATCCATGCCGAGTGAACATCAGTCTTGTGGTCTGAGACCACTGGTCTCACAAGTCATTTTGTTGTTGTTTTTCACAGCTGCAATTGTTGTTGGAGTGAAGCAACTTGCCCGTCATGTTCCAAGATTTCAGCTGGTGACCTTCATTTTGCCACAAGTACGCAAGAGTATTATGATGACTATATGGTGCGTGGTCTCCATCGCAGGACCCAAACCCTAAGGACCCTCTCAACAACGAGGCTGCAGTGATGATGGTTAGCAACGAACCGTTATTTGAAGCTCAAGTGCATATGAGTATTGAGCTTGGTTGCATAATAGATAAAAAACATGTTGACGATCGACAAGCACACTGGGGGTTGTGGAGGGGAATGGAGAAGGAGAGGGAAAGCGCGTTGTTGTGGATAGGAACTTTCAAACCAAGGGAGCTGGAACAACAGAGTGCACGTGGAACCTCTGCAAATGTTGTTCATTCTATTCTTTGTATGAGAGCTTGCAATTTTCTGCTGTGCCTGGCTCACTGGCGGAGTGTTGTGGATCAAGGCAAACTGCCACCTACACTTGATGAAGCACTCCCCACCAGCCAGAATGCATCAGCGATACTGATTTGACTCTTTAACTTATTGGCCATTTCTACAATCATCTTGCCAGGAGATTCTCTTGTGACAGCTGCACACAACATTAGTCAGAGTAATTAGGTACCTGTGGTGGCAGGACATGTGCAGACATTCAAGATCTATTACTGATCCATTTCACACCCATGAATGTCTTGTAGTTCCCATGATTCAACTGTTGACGAGCATTGTTCGTGGTGATGAGCATGCAGTTGCATACATGTAGCATGTAGCATGCGTTGCTCTGCATATAGCGAGGTTAGTGCCAAAGAAGATGCGCTGAACTTTGGTGCCTTTGTGCACAACCTAGCACATGTGTTTCGGTGTGTGTGCTTCAGATTGAGCAGCCATTGGTGATGGAAAAGAATCCACGCAGCGGGCCAATCCATCTGAGCGCCAACTGTCCCTGTTCAATGCGTTTGCTTCCACACCATAATCCACGACAGCAAGGGAAGCATGGAACTCAGATCTTGAACATTTACCAGCAGTAGTGGAACCTTGTGGCTCCATATTTTGGTGCAATGGAGGTTACTGTGCTTTATCTTGTGGGCCCCGATCGCAAGGCAGATCTAAACGCAAACAGGGAAGGAGACGCTACATGGCAAGGCAACGTTTCATGTTCAGGACCACTTTGGTAAGGATGTTCCCTGTTGGGCTTCCACGTTTTGGCACCCCCGAGGGCATCACAAACCTCCCAAAGTTTGGCACCCCTGTGCGCATCGCAGACCTCAGCCAAACAGTTGTAGAGCAAGAGTCCCCCGCCACCTGCCACATCTACCGGGTGCGCTTGACTTGGTCGTTGGGGCGCGCCGACGACCAGCATGTTGCAACTTGTTTAAGGCTTGCCGCATCATCATTTTGGGGCATACGAATTTGAATCTCAGACTTAATCGTGGCCGCGAAGTTTGCCGCCATCAATCCCGCCAACCTTCCCCGCTGTCGAGGGGGGGCTAATCACGCTGGGCGAGTGGACGCGAGCAAGTCTGGCGAGTGAGGCTATGCAGGTGAGGGTCAGGGACACTTACAAGCCGAGAAGGATAGGTGGGCGCCTGTTGGCCTTATATTCCGGTAACGCCTATCCCGGACCTCCACACCAGCATGCGACAGCTGTAGCCGGTGAACACGTGCTTTTGGTGCCGCTCAGCCCTGAACGAGCTACGTTTGTGTGTGCAGGGATGTGCGCATATGTGTGTGCGTGTTTGTGTGTGCAGGTGTTGAGCCGACATGGCTACAAATGAGTGCAGACATTCTGTATCCGTGTGCATATAGGTGAGTTATGTTCTTGCGTGAGTTTGTGCATGTGTGCACAGGGACAGCGCCTACAGTGAGCCTATCCACAACCAAGCGGAGAGCTCAAAGTGGAGGAGCGCTATGGACACGTTATCTGGCGCAAAGTGTGGTGTAGGGGTTGGTGTGGTGTGGTGTGGTGCAGTGGTGTTGTAGGCCGAGATGCGCAGGTGTAGGCCCTTGGATAGGGAAGGGGATGGCAGTCAGGTCGTTCAGCGGATGTGGTGCAGAGCATGGTGTAGGGCGGTGTGGTGTGGTGCTGTTGTGGGAGAGACAAGTTGTAAATGGTTGTGGCGCCTTTGAACCATGTGTGGCAACCCTGCCTGAGCGGCGAGGGAATAGGAAACGCAGGCGCATATACACAAAGCGTTGTTGAAACCATCCCATGCATAGAACAGTGGACCCAAGCGTGCAACAACCAGAAACACCCACCGTCATAAATGCAGCCCATCCCACGTTGCGCCCACACGCCTGCTAACTAGAGGTGGCCACTCAAAGATGCCATCCGGTCCGTTAAGTCCGGTTCGTTAATTTTTATTAGCTGTCCGTTAAATTTCGTTAAAGAAAAATGGAGAAAAATTCAGAAAAAACGAAAAAAATCCAAAAAAAATGAAAAAAAACCCAAAAAATCACAACAACTGCGGCTAGTTGAAAATCTAGTATGCATAGGTTGAAATAAAATACAAACATACTCTCTAATAGCGAATTCCATAAACTATAAGTATGACTAAAACCAAAAAATCCCCAAAAAATCCAAAAATCCGCTAATTTTTGGTTAATTTTTGTCTTTTTTCGTTATTTTCCGTTAATTAACGGAAAATTAACGGAAATTAACCTTTGTCCGCTAATAACGGATCCGGGTGGCCACCTCTACTGCTAACCCACGTCATGCCCATGCGCCGGCTGGCCCACGTCGCGCCCACACACCGGCCAACCCACATCGCACCCACGCGTCGGCCAACCCACGTCGCGCCCTCGTCGCACCCACACACCGGCAAGCCCACGTCATGCCCACGCGGCGGCCAGCCCGCGCCGTGCCCATATGCCGGCTAGCCCGTGCATGGGAACGCCGGTGCATGGGCTCGCGTTTTTGGTGAAACGGGACGACCATATGCCGACACGTACATCAGAAAACGTTATTGCATTTCTATGCGTTGCAACGCACTTCCCACGCATGGGCTTGCCGATGAAAAAACGCATCGGCACCTGCGTTACACACATCGGCACTCCGGTGCCTTGCAATGCAATGCAACGCAATTTTGTAAACCGAGTGCCCCATGGGGTATATAAATGTGGGCATATGGCCTGCTTGGATAGCACCAAGGCCAGCGCTGCGAACCGCCTCGAACGAACGACCGCCAGAGCTGTGAGGGAGCGCTGGGGAATTGCAGCCAAGGCGCAATCGATCGTTGGTGTCGGTCGGCGCTGCTGGGCGGCGTTCGATTGGGGAGTCGCTGGCTGAAGTGGTAGATTGAATGTGGTGTCCACTATAGTGAACGGTGAAGTTGAAGATAATGATTGTGTGGGGCTGAACAATTGAGTCTACGATTGGTGTGTTGGTGTTGTGTGTTTGCAAGCTGTGTAAGACCTTTTTGACTGGAAAGGATATTTGAGAAGTGTCTCCCAAGGACCCACCTGCACTGAAGTGAGGTGATTGTCTAGCACATTCTGTTGTGCTGAGAATCCGATTGAGTTAAGTTGAGAAAGGTTTGAACAAAGTGAACAACATTGAATGTCCTTCGACTTGACACTCAAGCTGTCACTAGAAGTGTCTTGTGTTCCGAAAGTCCAAAAGGACTGTGATCCATCGGCCAGGAAATGGCGATCACAAGGGTTGTCCTTCAACAGGACAAAGACCTAAGGCTACATGTGAGCAGAATGTGGTCACAAGGCTCCTAACGCTCCGTAGCACTCGCTTCCCCCTAGAGAGGAGAAAGCCTAAGAGGGGGGGGGGGGGGTTCCGTCGAACCGAATCTTCGCTGGTGGTGGTGCGTGTCGCGGCTGCCAACCACCCGAGCTGCATTACTCATCGAGGCAGCGCGTGTTAGGATTCGCCGGCAACCCCGGTCCAGCCGCATCGCCCATCACCGGCATCGCCTGGTCGCAGGCTGGTAGGCGCCCACCGCGCCCCAGCTGCCCCGCGTCCTTCGCGCCCCAGACAAGGCGGCATGGTCACCCCAGATGCGAGATGCGCCTCGTGTCGCATGGCATTTTGGGCCTCAATCGGCGCTGACGTGCGGCTGACGCGGCGATTTGGAAGGCGGCTGGGCCGTGGGGAGTTCCGCACGTTTTGCACTCCTTTGGCCGAATTTTTTGCCCAGTGGGTGTTCTCACTGGGCGTTCGACTGCCAAGCCTCGCGTCCGCATTGCTGGAGCCGGCCCCCCCTGTTGGTAGGTGGTGGTGGCGGGTTTGGCGGCACCCCGCCGGGGAGGGTGCACAGCCATGGGCGAGGTGGACAGGGATGAGTGCGTGTACATGGCCAAGCTGGCGGAGCAGGCCGAGCGGTATGATGAGATGATGGCGGAGGTGAAGAAGATCGCGCGAATGGTGCACGAGCAGGAGCTGAGCGTGGAGGAGAGGAACCTGCTGAGCGTGGCGTACAAGAACGTGATCGGCAGCAGGCGGGCGTCCTGGAGGATCATATACAACATCGAGCAGAAGGAGGAAAACAAGGGCAACGAGGAGAACGTGGGCAGGATCAGGAAGTACCGGCTCAAGGTGGGCGGGGGCGGATTGTCACCGGGCTCGCGGCGGGGCACGAAGGCGCTTCAGGGAGAGGTTTGGTGATCGCGCGGCGTGATTGCACTTAGGCAAGGGGTGTTTCGGGGACTTTGGGCGCGGCCGACGGGCGTTGGCGCGGTTGGAGGCGTCCAGATCATGCGGCCGAGGCAGTCGGCGACGCTGGCGGGGGGAAGCGCACGCGAGTGGCGGTCGCGAGGGCGCCGGGCGGCCCACCACATCGGCCTGTGCGGCTTCTCCCAGGTCGCGGCCGTTTGGGCCGTCGGGACGTTGTGCACGGTTTGGGGGAGGGAGGCGCTTCCGTGCCTTATTCGCGCCGCGTTCACTGGAAGCGTTCCCACCTCTGCGGCCCTGCAGAGGTCCCAGTCAGTGCGCCTCGCGAACGGCTGTCAGTGGCATTCCCCGTTGGCCGTGATTCGGGAAGCGTGCGCTTCGCCGAGCTTGCGGAATGGGACCCACGCCCCTGTTTGACAATTTTGTCGAAACGGGTTTTTACGCCGGGCGGAAGACGACTGAGGGGGACGCCGTGTGGGGGCCTGTCGCAGGTGGAGACGGAACTCGCCAACATCTGCACCAGCATCCTGACCCTCCTCGATGAGCACCTTATCCCGGCGGCCTCCTCGGGGGAGTCCAAGGTGTTCTTCCTGAAGATGAAGGGGGACTACCATCGCTACCTGGCAGAGTTCAAGTCGTCCTCAACGCGCAAGGAGGAGGCGGAACAGACGTACCTGGCGTACAAGGCCGCGCAGGTGCTTGAAGGCGTGGACACACACGCCTTGATGCGGCCAGAGCCAGCTGTGTTGTGGGTGGGCGATGTGTCACAGGCTTCATCGACGCGCGTATTGTCCTTCACTTGCACACACCTCAATGGGCCACTGTACAGGATTGTCCGCACAACAAGCCACGGCCGCGATCCCCTGTTTGTGAACTTGTGCAACCTGCTGACACAAGGTTTTGTGACGTTGGATCTGCAGGACATTGCACTTGCTGACTTGGTCCCCACCCACCCGATTCGCCTGGGTCTGGCCCTCAATTTTTCAGTCTTCTACTACGAGATTGAGAACTCGCCTGACAGGGCTTGTTACCTGGCCAAGCAGGTGAGGAGCGCGCACGTTGACCTGATCGCACAACCAGGGTCCACAGCACAATAAGAACATGGATTTTCTATTTTTTGCTTTGTTTCGTTCATGGAGATCGTTGTCTGGACAATCTGTAAGCAGGCTTATCACTGACACCACCACAAGGGTGCAGGGACTGCATGGTTGCTCACCTGTGAATGTAGTCGAATTGTAGCCAAGTTGGAATCACAAAGGCAGCGCTTGATACGGACTGACGTGTTATATTCGCATTGATTACAAATTTCTGTGCCGGTTTATGGCAAGGCACAGGGCACAGGTGGCACCTGATGACAGTTTATGCATCAGAACTTGTGACTGGCCCAATAGTTTCCCAACCTTTCTTGCGCAAACACCAGAATTGGTCTCAGCTTGAAGTCACATTGCTACCCAAGGGGGACATCTACAACTGATGTGTACCAGAGGTGTGACATTCGTTGTGGGAATCAGAAGATCGAGGTCTGCCGGCCATTGCACCTGGTATACCTGTGGGGCATACAGTGGGTACACGATGGGCACATAACCTGTTTGTGGTTTTGCCTTTACTGACCATGGTGTGTTCTGCAGGCATTTGATGAGGCCATTCAAGAACTTGACAAGCTTGGGGACGAGTCCTACAAGGACAGTACCCTGATCATGCAGCTGCTCAGGGACAACTTGACATTGTGGACGTCAGACATGCAGGTAGAAAGAGCTGACCACTTAAGAATACGGGACTGGACAGTGATAGGCTGACGATGGACCTTTGTCCCTGAAGTAGTTTCATTCCATTATTTTGGTTAGAGCAGTGACAGTATGTGGTTCAGTTCTCAGTCCCAGTCATGGGCTTGAGCTAATCATTGTGCTCATAGCGTTTCTGCATGGCTCCAGCTCCAGCACATTGGTCACTTTGGTCAACAATGAGCAGCGTGCACTTTGCTGGATGATGTTGAAACCCCAAGACTTGATGCCATGTTGCACTGAACAGCAGATAGAGTAAAACATGCAGCCAGGATTGTGCTGCCTCATATCCCTATCACTCGTGAGTACACGTGAGAATGCTGACAGTGACCATTACTCTGTGCTCAGGATGCAGAGCAAGGGAAGGAAGGTGGTGGTGAACTCCAAGTCGACGAAGTCGGTGACCATGACTGACATTTTCCTATTGATTGGTGTTGGATGGGGAGCATGCACGTGGAAGGGTGCTGAGGAAGGCTGGGAGATGGGTTGTAGGGTGGGGAGGACAGTGCATGTTGCTATGCATGCTCGTGGGCCGCCTTGTTGAGTGTACGTGCGTGTGTCTTGTATGTGTCAATACTTGTATTTGCCCCCATGTACTACCCTTTATGGCGACGGCCCTTTTGCATGGCATCTTGACAGCAGGTGTAGTGACACCAAGTGTGGCAAGGGTGGCCATGCTCAGCTGGCAAGCTGCCCAGGGTGTGCTAATCTGGGGAACGCTCCAGTTGTGTGTAACAGCGGCGTCCTCCCTTATGATTGTTGTTGAATAACAAGTGGCTGGCCTGTGCTTGGGGCCTGGTGAGTCAGCTGTGGGTCGGTGGTCTGCCCCAGAGACGACTGCTGCATAATGGCTTGAGCCTTGCTTTTCTGCATGGGGAAGGGTGAGGAGCGTATTATAACTAGCGTTGTGGAGTTGCGCATTGCTGGCCACATTCGTCCTACTGTGGGATCGACTGTCAGCATAGCTGTCCAGTGTGAACTTGGGGCTGTTTCCCTGGATGCTTAGGCTGGCAGCATGCAATTTTTTCCTCCAGGGCTCTTGAAATGAACAAGCCAATGAGCAGCCCCTACACCACGGTTCTGCCAATGGCCAGGGATGGTGTTGATCAGTGTTGCCCTCCACTGTGCCGCCTCGCTGCTTTTGGAGCAGTGTGTTCCTGACTCCATCATGGAGAGGGAAAACACCCACCGCCTGCCAAATTAAGTCAACCTTTGGCGTTGTGCACCAGTGATGATAGCCTGGATATGGCGTAGATGCATCCAATACTTGATTGGGGACAGCAGGAGATGTGTGACTGGTAGCGAGGACAATTATCTTTGTGTTGGCACAGATCCTCACAGCGCAAGTGGTTTCTTATTTCTGATATGATAGTTCCAAAATGCTGCTGCAAGTTTCTTGCGTCCAGGCAACTGGCTTCAAGGCGCTGCTGGGCTGGGTCCCGAATGCCCATCTCATAATTCCCCGGCATGCATCTGCCCCATCTGCTCTGCACCGCTGCCCTCTGTGCGGGGCAGTTGACGCCATCGCGAGCTCATGCTGCAGTCGCTGTGTGTTTGATTGAAAATCCAGTGTTTACATGAGAGATGAGATGAAATGATGCCAGCAGAAAACCGAATGTGTAAGGGCCAATTTGCCACCAGATACGTTTGTTAGGGACAACGATCCAAGATCCATTATTCAATGAAAGTTGGGAACTCATTTCCCTGAACGCGAGAGCTCGTGACTGCAGGGCATTGCTATCAAGATGCAGCAGGAATGACGGAGGTGTGCGTGATTCAGTTGTTGTGTTGCGTTCAACTTGTACCCCATATCAAGCCGTGCAAGTACCATTCTGGCCTCCAGCGCCATCCCTCCAACCACAGAGAATCTTTGGTATCTGGGAAGCATGTTCAAATCCCTCGTATTCCAATGTTGCAGCCTTTGAGCGATTCATGGGGGGTCGCGTCCCACCACCCAACCCGTTGTCAGCAACTTCCCTATGTGAATTTGCCCTCACATACGACAAAGTGGGGCTCTTGCACCTTGCACCTTGCACATTGGCAGCAGTGATGACCACATGCACGACCAAAACCCATGTTAACGTCGAACTAGTGCAAAGAGGATTTTTTTCAAGCTTGCGAAGATAGGCAACTACGAAAATGGACTAAACTCGACATAATCTAAGATTAGTCCAAATTTCGACTGGCGCTGAAGTTCAACTATTGTTGTTGATGCGTCAGTGCGCAGCGCTTCTGTTCACTATCCACAAGCTACCCGCAGTTGAAGATTCGTGCATTAGACAAAATTGATTTCAGATCTCAATGGACGTTAAGGTGAGGAGGATCCAGGCCATAGATGCCAAGAAACAAACTAACTGCAAGCCAGGAAGAGGCGTCAATGGCCATCGCGGTGAGCTAACAATTCGTGCATGTGATTTGTGTTTGATGTCTTTGACTTCGCCTTCGTAACATACATGGCTGCCCCGGAGACTCTCTATCGCAGTGGGCGTGCTGGCATATAGGGCGCACAGTACATGGCCGCTCGATGCAGATGATGTTGAGGGGCACAGGCGATGTTGATCGCCGACAATTGCATGGTAGTCAGTAGGACTGTGCATTGCAGATCGGTACCAATTGCTGGCCTGTCGGCTGTCAATTGACGATCGGGACACAGAAGACGCAAGGATTTTGTCAAAAATATTTGACAGACGTCGCATTTCTAGAGATACGATATTGGGATGCGATGAGAGCTGGCATGAATTCTCAGGAAACATATTTGCTCGACATTGCATTGGCCATCGTGTGTCTCCGATGGCAATGGTGCCCCAACATTGGCGGGACCTGGCTGTTGGACTGGGGTGTTGAAGGTTGAACCGACAGCTGCATTACGCCCAACAGCTAGCCCATCAGCTTTTGCCACCACGATAATGGAGTTTCTTTCTTCATTAGCTGGCTCTGAAGGCTTGACACGCTATACACTCACAATGTCTTTTCTTAGAGATGCAACACAATTGTTGAAGGGCATTTGTAGTGATTGCCATGATGGCTGTTAATCACTGCCTTGAAGTCGGATTCTCACGAAAGGACTATTACACACTTGCAGAGTACTTTTCAACACGTCCAGAAGGATATTCTCTGCGTCAATATCCTTTTCACTATTCACTCTTGGCTCCCCACTACAATCGACCCAATTTTGTAAAGACGCACACTGTCATTATCCCCACACCAACCAACCACTCTGGGCGGCTGTCTATTACCCGAAGATACTGACACGCTACCCACAATCTGGAATCCGACACCATTGGACCGAGGTGCGACAGGCCAACAAATTATAGCAAGGCATCAATTGTTGGGGCTTTGCAGAAAAATTCTTGAGTGTGCCCCAAATCCGTACGCCACCAGTTTTGAAAATAGAAGTGAACTGGCGATTAGAAAGAGTCACAAAACATTCTTGCAATGAGCCCTAGAAACTTGCATGGCAAATTGATCCCTCACATTTCATGAGGTCCCAACACAACGCTGTGGTTCAATGGAAGAAATAAAAGGCCATTGTCGTTGATAAGGAGGATAAAGAGGGCGTTCAATAAAACTTTAAAACCCCCTACTGGATCCCCTGCCCCTGTCCCTAACGACTGAAAAGAGCTCAGCTGCGGCCCACAACCGCCCTCAATCCGCACCGCCCCCCGTTTCCCAATAGCACCCGATTAACACCCCTTGCTGCGCCCCGGTCCCCCTCAATAGTCACCCTGCTTGGTGCAACAGAAGAAGAGGAGGATGGAAGCAAAACAACTTAACCAAATGTTGCATGCCGTGGGATGGTAACAAGATCGGAGCCTGTATTGAGAAGAACGGCCTTGACTTGCCCTCGGTAGTTCCCGTAAATGACGCCGCCTAAGAGTTGAATGCCATAGCGATGCGCCTGATGGAAAATGACAGACCACAATAGTATCCATAGTCACGTGCTCACCGGGACGAAGATGAATATCCTTGGGCACAAAGAAGTCATAGGCAGCATCACCAGAAAAATGCTTCTTTGGAAGGGGTGGTGAACAACCCTCCACCGCAAACCGCTAAACCACCAAGGCGTTGCCCTGCTGATGGTGAGGCTGATCTGCATCCTGAACTGGTAAACACTTGATGTGGTGGCTATTGGTCTTCTGAATGAGGGTGCGCTCCGTGCAGTCGACCAACAACTGATTAGCTTCAAGGAATGTGAAATCCATGATCAATGGGGGGCCTTTGCCATCGAGAATATAGGCGCTCATTAGCATAGCGGCACTGGGAGAGACTGTCACTGGGAGGGTAAGGGCTCTGATCAAAGGCTCCTCTTCACCGTTCCCATATCGTACATGGTGCTAGCAGGGTTCTACCAAAGTCCATTGCACAAAGCAAGAGGTAGCCCTAGTGTCTACAAGAGCCATGATCTGAGTGCCCTAAATATTGACATGAACGTGCAAGGACTTTTTGTGGTTTTTGTGGATGGCACATCACACCTCGGGGATAGCAAAAGTTTGACAACAATGCTCATTAGAGGCAAGGCCATCAGATGAAGATGCTTCGCAATCATAGAAAGCATCCTGTTGATCCGGCAGCGACCAAAAATCGCCCTCACCATCATTCAAAGGCTAATGGGTCTACAGATGCTGAAAAGTATATGGCTGATGGAGGGCAGCCTAATCCTCCAGGTAGAACGTCTCGCCAAATTCATCATGCGAATCCTGATATGAAAAGGTTATGGGTGTGGGGCTGCTGCCCTCTTTGAGCCGCGGACCTACCTCGCCGGGCACCTGGGTCCTTACGGGGACCTCGGCAGGACCACCCCTCCTACTCCCATATCCTAACAACTAGAATGGTTACAATGGGTTGAGGAGTATACATTATGAGTCTTTGCCACCGTCTTGTACCCACCCCCCCGTTTGTGCTCCCTGTGGGCCATTTTTTTGGAAGTCTAACACTGCCGCCGCTAGGCGCACCTGCTCCTCCCGCCTATGTTGCATCCGCGCCGCCCGTGCCGCCACCCTCTGCTCACGCACACGTTCCATTCTCCTCCTCTCTATATCAAGGAGGACCTGGCGCCACTCGCCAGACCTCGCACGTGCCGCCTCCATCCCCCCCAACAAAATAAAAATGGACCTACAGGCCAGGGCAAAGTGTGCCCTGTCCCTTACATTTAACCTATCCCCGATCATAGCATATATCAAAGGTGGCATCCCAAGGAACTCCAACTCCATCCTTTCATTAGCTGAGACCCTATCCCTCAACTTTCTGAGCCTAACACAGAACCCTGCCCGGTGTTTCCTTGTGCGCCGCTTTCTGCCATCAGGCCTCCGCTGGCCTTGACGAAGGCCACCTACGGCGGCAAAGGCAATTGTTGGATATATAGTAGCGCAACGTTTCCCGGCTAATGGGCGGCTGGTACTCTGCCCTTCCCGGCC